CCCCCCCCCCCCCACCCCCACATAAAATCCTGATTACGGGCCTGGGGGAGTAGTCTGGCTTTTTGTTTTTCTCTTTATCAGTTGTTAATTCCTAGACAGTTTTCTTTTGGTGCATGTTTTTCAACAATCAATTCAATTGCATTAATAGTGCAAGCTGTTACTTCATGCAAATCACTGCATTGTTCAGTTATCGCATTCCAGTCAATTGTATGAATATCATGGAGGTATGATTCTGTGTTAAATTTACTGTAGTCTCTAAGGGCCTGTTTACATGGAGGTGGAGTACCCCAGATAGGTGAGGTAACCCGCTTAGGTGGGGTAACCCTCCTGTCCATATAATCTCTCATTTTAATGTGATCACGTTTACATGTTAAGTGGGGTAACCCGCCCTGTTACCTCACCTACCTGGGGTCCCCCACCTTCATATAAATAGGCTCTAAAATACCTCTACGTTTTGAAAGGTGTGTCAACCGTACAAAAGACTGGCAAATGGTCCGAGATATCAACTGTGACAATCCCAGATATCAATCTGTTAACATTGTTGGTATAGATAAGATCTATCAGTGTCGCTGTATCATTAGTGATTCTAGTAGGTTTAGTTATTACTGGTCAAAGATCAAGGGAGTAGATCATATCAAGGTATCTCTGTTTGCTGATGTGAATGATACTTCAAAAGGTCAATATTCATATCACCCATTATATACATATCATATTTGCTTGGATTAAGTTTGTTTAAGAATTCATCAAATTTAAGCGTAAATTCTTCCACATTTGCAGGCGGGTGTTTGTAGATACAGCCAATCATAATGTGCTTTCTGTTGTCTTTCAGGTCAATTTCAACCCAGCAGGACTCAACTAATGGTAGATCTATCTTTAAATCAGGTCTTGGAATGGCTTTGAGAACTTTGTTAACATAAAGAGCTGCACCTCCTGCACGTGTTGGTGAATCAGTATGCAAAACAATATACTTAGGTATATCAAGATTAGAGATAGAACCGGAACTCAATCTAGTTTCTGTTATAGCTACAATGTCCGGTCCTGAGTCCAAGGAACATAACACGTCATTTGATAGGGTCAGATTTTTCGTTAAACTTCTTATATTGCAGTGGAAAAGGGAAATACCTTTACCCTGGGTAGTATTGAATGTGTTATTCAGTTTTGATACAATGGGCGCTTTCCATTTAGTCAAAATTTTCGGAATTTCCTGTTCGGCGGTAAATGGAACACGCTTCGTCGGTTCATCCCACTGGAAAATTCCCAGAAAAAGTGGAAAATCTAAAAAGGTGGGCCAGTTTTCCCGGTTGGAATTTCGGAACGGAATGTCGTGTTCCATTTACGTTTCTCAGTTTGTACCAGTTCCAGGTCCACCGGCGGGCACCGCGACGTACCGGGGTTTACGACCAAATGGAACAACTTTTTACCAATCGGAAATTCCACTTTTGCTCCCACCAAAATTTCCGGTTTTTTTCCCTAAATGGAAAGCGCCCAATATTGTACTCAGACCGTGGATTGATAAACATTCTCAAACTCATTAATAATTCATAACATTATAAGCCAACCAGAGCGCCCCATTCGGGTCAGGTGGATGACTTTGAAACACAATGAAACACCAGTTGAAAATCACTAGTGTTTTATCACGTTTTCATCCCTAGTGTTTCATCACGTTTTCATCACTAGTCATAAAATTGTTCTTAATCTGCATATTCATAGATTACTTAAACACAGCTTAACACAAACCATTAATTTTCAATAAACAATGGCCAGGAAAGACATTTCAAATTACAAACTGATAAACTCAAGTCATTTGAAATTAAAGTTTACAGTACATTTCTTTCTTCGCTTTCAAACCAACGCCAGCTCGAGACCTATCCTTCATTTCTGCGTCCAATATTCGTCTAAAGATACCAAATCTAATGAGGAAAAGAGAAAAGTTCGATGCAATTTCCTTAAGAGCGGCTTTCCGTAAATATCGACCCACGGTCGACACAAGTTCAAAATTTGATTTCGCTCATTTTTGGCTCATCGATAACCCTTAATGAGTAATGAAACATGCTGTAATTAGTTTTCCCAAATAACGTATTCTTTTGTTTAAGTTCGAGAAAACTCATTTTGTCCGTTCGGAGCTCAAAGTCCACTTCCGGTAAAGCAAAATTTTACACAAATGTCATTGACTCGTACGTCAAACCACAACGATTTGGCAGCCTTTGAAGAACTCGAATAGTTTCTACGACCTTTTCTTTTTTATAAGACGATAAATTTGTGAAAGCTGTAATAATTTTGTGGCCAAAAATGAATTGTTAAAAATAAGCCCTATTGATGATTACCATCGTTCAAAATTGTAGGGATAAAAAAATGCAAATTTTTACAATTCGCTCTAACTTTAAATTTCGCAAATTGACTCTCTATGACTTGACTAGGCCCCAATCTATCAGAAAATCGAAACAAATCCCTGCGCAAACGATTTTAAGTAGCCCACAAGACCTCGAGTTCAACCCTAATTTTGCGAAAAATCGCGACATATGCATTCCAGTGCCTCGATCACAATGACCACCACGTTGACCACCGTGAAAACCACGACCACCGCGACCACCACCACCACCACGACAACAACGACCACCTCGACCAGCACCATGTGAAATATCGTTCAAATACGCTTTTGTCATTTAAACAATACACGGGAGTGTGAATTTGCAGTGCGTAATGACGGCATAATTATAAGGGCGTAATAAGTAGTCCAGTTTTAAATGAGACAAGAAATTGCATCCTGCTAACTCAAATCCAAACGAGTTAAGGAGGGGTTAACTGCAAGAGCCTGGGAAAGGGAAGCGGCACCACAATCACCAATGATGTTCTCTCTCAAATCCAAACTGGTTAAGGAGGAGTTGGTCGCAAGAGCCTGGGAAAAGGAAGCAGCACCAGAATCACGAATAAAGTTCTTACGCAAATTCAAACTAGTTAAGGAGGAGTTAGTCGCAAGAGCCTGGCAAAGGGAAGCAGCACCAGAATCACCGATGCCGTTGGAACGCAAATTCAAACTAGTTAAGGAGGAGTTGGTCGCAAGAGCCTGGGAAAGAGAAGTAGCACCAGAATCACCAATAAAGTTCGAACGCAAATTCAAACTAGTTAAGGAGGAGTTGGTCGCAAGAGCCTGGGAAAGGGAAGTAGCACCAGAGGCACGAATATTGTTCCAACTCAAATTCAAACTAGTTAAGGAGGAGTTGGTCGCAAGAGCCTGGGAAAGGGAAGTAGCACCAGAGGCACCAATACTGTTCCAACGCAAATTCAAACTAGTTAAGGAGGAGTTGGTCGCAAGAGCCTGGGAAAGGGAAGTAGCACCAGAGGCATCAATACTGTTCTCACTCAAATCCAAACTAGTTAAGGAGGAGTTGGTCGCAAGAGCCTGGGAAAGGGAAGTAGCACCAGAGGCATCAATATTGTTCTCACATAATATCAAACTAGTTAAGGAGGAGTTGGTCGCAAGAGCCTGGGAAAGGGAAGTAGCACCAGAATTACCAATATGGATCTTACCCAAATCCAAACTAGTTAAGGAGGAGTTGGTCGTAAGAGCCTGGGAAAGAGAAGCAGCACCAGAAACACCAAAGCTGTTCCCACTTAAATTCAAACTAGTTAAGGAGGAGTTGGTCGTAAGAGCCTGAGAAAGGGAAGCAGCACCAGAATCACCAATCCTGTTCGAACGCAAATCCAAACTAGTTAAGGAGGAGTTGGTCGTAAGAGCCTTGGAAAGGGAAGTAGCACCAGAACCACCAAAAAAGTTCGAACCCAAATTCAAACTAGTTAACGAGGAGTTGGCTGAAAGAACCTTGGAAAGAACAGCAACACCAGAAGCATCAATCCTTACCCCTGTCAAATCTAAGTTACTTATGTGAAGGTGTAACCCTAGGGTACGAGATAAACTTGTGCACTCTAAAATGCAGCCTAAAGCTAACTGAAATAATACACAAATGTCTTCCTTACAATCGAGATCTATTAAATTAATATTTTCAGCCATAATTTTAATAACATACTCTGCTGTCTCCTTACTCGTCGAGGCTAAAATTCCAATCATGAATAAAAACGCTTCCTTTAGTTCGTTTTTCATTCTCTCGTCTTTTACCACTGAGACACAGTCAAAACTTCCGTCAAGAATTTGGCAAGCAAGATAAAATCCAGAAAAAAACTCTTGGAAGCTTTTGTGGAGAAATGCATAACGCACAAGAGCTTTCCTCTTGCAGCCACTAGCCTGAAGTGAAAGAAATCCAAACTTGGATAAAGCAAAAGAGGGACTTCCAGATTCGTGTTCTTCAAAATATAGCACTCCTTTTCGAAGAGAGTGTAACGCCACTCGTCCCAGATGTACCAGATTGTCCCTGTAGATGCTCATGAGGTCTTCACTTTTGCTCGACAATCCTTGCTTTTTTTCATATCGCCTTAACACACAAAGGACAATCTCAGTGTACAGTTCAGTCCTGCTCGTTGGAAAAATGCCCTCTAAATCTTCACAAAGAACACAAAGCAAGGTTACGTTCAAGGGATTTTTGGACAAGTTGCTTAACTCATACGAATACCGAATCTTTTCTAGCAACTTCTCAAGTAAGTCTTCCCTGTTGATGCTTTTGAAGTACGCACGAATAAAACTATTTGCATCTTCTTCGGTGAAACCTACAATCTCCCACAGAGTGTCACAATACCTCCTAAGTTTCCTCCCTACCTCATGACGAGATGTGAGTATAACGTGACAACCTGAGAGTTCTTTACCCTCAACCAAGTCATAGATTCGTTTCATTTCAGTGGAGTCCATTTCATCTAATCCATCAAGTACTAACAGAGCTTTCGACTGATTTTCTCGAACGAATTTGAAGAAACATTCTTTAGCGTGATCGTCAATTTCCGCAGGAAGAAGTTGATCATCAATAGCTTTCCAGATGCTTGATTTCACTTCGTGACATTTGAGAAGTAATAGCAACTCAATGTCTGGAAAAGAGGGGTCCAACTCCTTCTGCCTAGTTGCCCAATCATACGCTAGCTTCTGACAGTACGTGCTTTTACCCATGCCAGGGTCTCCTTCAATCAAGACTGTTCGCGGCCTTTGGCATTCTACGTGCGCCTTAAAGATAGCAGTCATATTGGTAATATCATCAGTAAGTACTCCTCGGATTTTTTCTTTGCTCATGATCTTTAACCTGGTAAATATTTCATTCAGGTGAAAACTGAAATCTTCGCACCAAGGAACTGGCAGGAGGCGTTGTTCACGTGTCCCGTAAAGTTGGCGAATCTTTTCCACAATTTCCGTTGGGAATAAAAAATCTAAAAATATTAGAAAAAAAAAATGATAACCTGCATTTTGTTTGGCTTGTTAAATTATGTGTATTCAGGTTTCAAGGTTGCAATTTTTAAAAGGGATGCACACATTGAGATTTACATTGTACAAAAACCAAGGCTTGAAACAAAGGCAGGTCAACCGTGACCATGTCAGCTCAACAACAAATGGTTGGTTATGATGTCCGATAATTGCTGTTTATTATTCATTCAAAATATTTCCCCGATTCTGATTGGCTAAAAGCACACGTATAATTCACAATAACCAGCTACTGATGACCAAATTTGGAAGAATTTTGCGATTAATCAACCGATGACGTTAAAAGTGCAGCTTCCTTGCAGGTTAATGCACCATTAACCGATAGGATCTGGGGACGAAGTTGAGTTGTTTTGGTTTGAAAACAAAAATGGCGGACATTTCACTCGTTTCAAGAGTAAGGACTGGGCGAAATAATAGCTAAAAACATGGCAAGAACAACAAGAAGACAACTCGAAGGTCGACATCTGCTATTTGGAGAATAATTGCAGAACTGAACAACCCTAAACTTGCACTATAGAAGATGAACTTAACATCGATGGAGGTAAGCATGTTTTAGCTATGTTTTAAAACTAGGAATTATTTTGAATGAATATTAAAACAATTATTGAATTCGGCTTTCGTATCATATGAAGAATTATGGAGATCTCGGAGGGTGTTATCCGTCGAGGCCATAAACACCCTCCTCGATCTCCATAATTCTTCATAAGATACTCAGCCCCATTCATTAACTGTTAATTTACGGTGGATACTGTATAACACTGGACAGTGTCTCCCCATATAATACGAATTCCGGAATCCGGGAAAGCTTTGCATGTTTAATACGGAATCTTGGAATTTTTTGCTTGTGGAATCCGGAATCCTGGGCCTTGGAAGCTTTAGGAAAACGAATCCAAGGTCCACTGAAAAAGATCTGGAGACCAGTAATTGGAATCCGGAATCCTTAGCTTGAAATCCAGAATCCAAGAATATCTTGGATGGGGCAGACAGTGGGACAGAAAACATACTGAGTATTGTCTTCTAACCTCACTTCCGTACTTCACTTCTCATGGCTTTTCCGTATGTCGCCTTGTTCGTACCGTATTAGAGAGATTTTCGTTTGACCTTGAAAAAAGGTTTTCGCAACTGTTTGTTATATTTGGTCTCAGCCAGAAGCTAAAAAGATCATAACATGAGCTAATTTCTTCCGCTAGACTGTTCACAGTCCCCTACTTTTCCGTAATTTCGTCGAGATCGAGCATTTTGCGTTACAAGTGGGTATCTCGATTTCAATGCCCCGAATCTAGCCTAACCAAGAAGGCCACCCGTACCGAAAGGCGCTCGATCCTGACGATCTTACGAAAAGATGGGACTGTGAACAGCCTATTATGCCACCAAACAAAACAAGAAAAAGGCATCCTTCGATGGTCCAATCGACAGCCCACTTGCCTTTGTCAACAGTTATGGAAAATTACTTTTCAGCAATCTTTATTCAGCTGGGAATTTACTACGCGTGCAGCTCGCTAAACCAAAATTCTTGTATTCTTGTTCGTTTGTTGTTTTACTTTTGTTCATGCGAAATCAATTCCAGGTCAACCCCTTCCCCTTACATAATTTCGTTCCTATGGTATTAACCTTTAATATTCCCGTATTTCAATATATGTTAGTCATGTTTCGTTACCGCTTTTTGTTACGTCACTGCGTTCATGTGGTTGTTGTCTAGTCTTCTTATCGCTTTGCTGTGAGTCAGATCATTCCTGTTTTAGTTGTCGTTTAGAATTACGTTTACGGCAAAGGTCTATAACGTCATCAAGTTTTCCTTTTACTTGTCAAGTACTGTTTATTATGTTAAGAAAAAAGAAGGTTCAGGTTTATCTAGAACTAATAAAAATTTAAGACAGTTTTTAACTGCTCATCTCCTAATTTGAGAAATTGAAAACTTGAATCTCACGTTTGCCGCTTGCCTCCAACATGACTCTAAATCTCCCGAATACTCTTGTTGTCTTATGCGAGATATCCGGTATGGTTAGTTGTTAGTCTTGTTTTCTTACTGACGTAGCCTTATGTTCTCCGCTGCATCTTCGTATACTTGTCAGCTTATACGACAGAAGTCTTTTCCCCTAGACTTTTATCCCTCCGTTATTTCGTCTCTACTATAACACTAGTCTTCACCAGTACCTTTCAACATTCCTCTACGTTCGTGAGTGTCATTATTTTCGTAAGCTATTATTTTTACATTCGACCTTCCAAAATGGGTTCTGCCCAAGCAAAACAATTTTTACTGCACGATGTTACTGGCGCCTGCTCATTACTTATTTCAAGGCCTTGGAAAAAAATCAATCGTGATTGCAGTAAGTTCAACCTATACCCGATTGCTCCCGTAGGATAAGGGCTTAACTTTAAGGAACAGAATATAACTGTATGTGGAGAACAACGCCTCCACTTAATGAGAAGACTGCAATTTCATAGCAATCCCACAACAAAGTTGTCAAAGTACGTTTGAAGACTGTTGACTCAAGACCAAGCATGATTCACACTTAGCATCTGGTCTATTCGCACATCTTTTTTCCTAATCTTAAGATCAATTAAAAACGTTCAATGACAATTTAACCTTTTCGGGCAGTGACCTAGTTATATATAATCCGAGAGCCTAGTTAAGAAAGAATAGCAAAATACATAACAAAAATGACCGTTGTTTACCAAACCGACCAAATCGAAGTTTTTTCTTGTACCATTGTAATAATAAAAATCTCTAGCCATGTTCATGCAAACAGCAGACATATTTTTACCACAAAAGCTCACCTGCCATCTTTAAGGCCTCTGCACTTTCTAGTTCATTCAGTTTGTCTTTGATATTGTCCTCCACCTTTCTCCACTGCTTGAGAAGTTCTCGGAAATGTTCCTCACTTAGGACGTCCATTTCCTGACACCTGATTTGCTCAATGACATCTACATAGTTAGCTCCTCCCAATCGTACCAGAGTGTCATGGATCTGCTGCCAGTAGCTACTGAATACAGCATCACTAACAAAACCTTCTCCAGTATGACTAGACACGGCGTTGAAGAAATATTTCAGACGCGCAATGTCAGACTCATGGCTTAGGTCTTCGGGAAGAGGAGGAGCATCCCAACCAGCAGGTGGAGGACTCAGATCACAGATTGTCCTTAGAAGAACCATTAGCAGAGGGATGTCGAAGCCCGCCGACGAAACTTCGGAGGGTGTGGTGGGATACAGTTTACTCCACTGGACTGAGTTTAGTATCCCTTCCTTTCGACGTGACTGAAGTTTAGAGTGAGCTGGGTTCCGTTTCAGAATGCGTTGAAGACTTTGTGGTGGAATTATTCTGTCAAACGTTTCTCTGAGGGCTTTTGAACCCAAACTGATTAGAAGACGACATAACCGGGAATAATTTGATCTCCCCTTGGTGGAGGTATACTCAGTTGAATCAAGATCTAAAAGAAGAATTAAAAAAAATCATTATTTGTTTACTAGATCTACTAAAGTAAAATCCTTTAAGATACAGTACGTGTGCTAAAATCGAGGTACACTGTATAGACATTATTCGATTAAAAACCCATTCTCATCGCAAACCAAGCGTTGTTCCCAAGAGAAAGTCTCCTTTGTCGACATTTTTTTGGAACGACCGTAAATATGATCAATTATGAGACTACAGGAACAAATTGAGACAATTGACTTTGAAGAGTTAAAATTGTTTGTCATATATGCGTAGGTGTTTTTTAATGTATTCCTTACAGAGAGTAAGAAACCAACCATGAATTAGCAGTAAATGTCCATGAGACATTTTAAATCACTGCGAAATTAAGTTACTATCGCTGTGAACGCCACCAAGTTTTCTACTCTAGATCCTCTTATCAAAGGACTAGGAATTAGCTCTATGGCTGGATAGCTCTTATAGGCTTGAAAAGGTGACTCCGCTCTTAGAAACTAGCCGTACGACCCCATCTGAAAATTTCAGAGAGAAAGAAAGAAATCCTATAGACTGAATTTTGGCAAAAGCCAAAAATGTGGAATTCTGTCTCATTTTATACTAACTAAAAAACTTCCTGGATTTGTTTAAAAAAAATGTTCACGGTTTCGTCTTTATGTTCCCTAACAATCCTCAAAATTTGAACCCAGGTCATACGGCTACTCTTTAAGAAAAAAGCCTTTTAAAGGTATAGTTACCAGTCCCCTTTTGCACACTCGGTCACTCTATTTCGCGTTATACTTTGCAACTAGTAATAGTTGACACTACAGCTGCCCCCGCTCTGTATATTGTCGGTCAATAGCATTCTTGCTCGTTGTGTAGCTCTTTGAGATATACCGATTCATAAGGAAGATTTTCACACATATTCCATATAATAGGTGAGATAAACACAGGAAACGCAAGGTTCCATGCACAGTTTCTGGTCGATTTACACAGCTTTGATCAAAACATTCTCAGTTTCCAGAATAGTTTATTCTAAACCATAAGAAAAGATTTAATTAGAAGTTGATTTTTCGCTATTTCTCTTTCACTTTTTACATTCAGTTCATTTTATTTGCCGGAAAGGAAGCCTTAGAAATTAAAAAGACGTTTGATCAATTCAGACTCGCGCATTCTAGTCTTATTTTAAACGTCATAGCGGAAGGACATCTATGAGCAGGGAATAAGTCAGGACAGAATTTGATTGTCGGCGAATTTCTGTAATCGTCCATCGTTCCTGCTAGTGAGAAGCTAGCCGTTGTTCACTCGTCTTACTTGTTTGGGGCTGAGTCTTATTCCGGTCAAAGAGAGAGAAAAGTGTCTGGTAAGGTTTCAAATGACAGATTTGTGAACTCGTGTCTGGCAAACTCTCCAAGTGTTTATATATACACAGTTATACGCTACTTATAACTTCTTCTGCGCTTAACGAGTGTCGTTAAAATTTTGGTCTTTATCTTTCACTGAACCCCTAAGCGGTCCCTTGGGGATGTTCTGTTTTTACGTCATCCTAACCATTTCGTACTTGCGGGCCCAAACAATAGAAACGTCATCATTACCTACCGATTTCTCGCGGCCCGTATTAAAGCAAATCGCGACTTTTTCTCTATTGACTCTATGACTGTATATTTCAACTGTAAGTACTTTGTTTAATATACGCGCGAGTTACTAGAGTGCCTCCTCGGGATTTCGCCTTCTTGGCGAAATCCCTGCGGGGGCAATAAAATGTTTTTAAGAGGTACAATGATAATTTACATGAATTTTAGTGATAAACAGTTCAGTACAGTAAAAAAATAAAAAAACAGTTCAGTAAAAATGTTCCAGTTTGAAAAAGGCGTTAGTTTTCATCCAAAAAACGGTAGTAAGCCACCTTAAAAATATAATCGGAAGAGAAATCGCCGACGCTGTTTATTCCGATCACGGGTTAGATTTAGGGGTTACCTGCATGTTTTTCTGTCGTGCCTCGTGTACCCTGTGAAGCCAGGTGAGAAGATACAACAGTTCTACCTATCGCTTCGGCGAAGCTCTGGACATTTGAAAAACCAACTGCAGAAAAAAGGACAAGATTGTTATCTTTTAAAGAAAGTATGAAAGAGTAAAAACGCTCAGGTTTCTTGTTTTCTGGACTGTGAATTGCCGGAAACGTTGGGTGTATCAAACACCATTTACAAGAAACAGCCTTTGTTTGTTTGTTTGTTTGTTTTTTCAGACTAAACAGCGTCTTAAGGAATCAAAATAAATTGTTGATTTACAGGAGGGGTTAAATTAAGGAAACTAAAATTTGCTGCCATTATCAGTAGGCATGGTCATAGTGCTTGAATTGAAAGACGATGAAAATCAACTTAATTTGACATTCATACCGTGAGTCCAGCTGATCATCTTGTGAAGAACATCTCTTATCTGTATGGCCCAGTTGAATTTCTTGCCGTACGAATCGCGCAAAGTTTTCACTTCCTAAAGTCGACTTTTTCTGTCCTTGGCCCAGACTTTAGTGATGGCTGCGGTCCAATCTGTGGGATCCTCTGAGTTAACTACAAAGGATGAACCAAATGGTACACTGCACAGTGCTTCTCCAAACCCGGAGTTGTGACTGACAAGCACAGGGAGACCAGCTGACAGGGCCTCAAGTCCTGCCAACCCAAAGCCCTCTGTTCGTGAAGGCATGACTACAAGATCCACTTCTTGAAACAAGCGCCTTAGACTCTCTCGGTCGTCAATAAACCCTCTTACTCTCAAGCGACTTGCAGGAACACCACATCTGGTTAAGCGCTTCGCTATTTCTTCGTGTTTTCCATCCGGGGCACCAACAAACACAAGACGAGTATCTTGTAATGCAGCAACCGCTTTTCCAGCGATGTCAAATCCCTTTAGTTCGAAATCCTCTGCGTCCCCACGACCAAACACCAAGACACTACGTTGTTTTCTTTCTTCAATGTCCTGAATCACGCTGACAAATTCTTCAAATACTCCAGGCGTCAAGTTCACTACACTTTTATCTTTCTTGCATCCTCGAAGATACGAGCGGAAGGCCTCACTCAACTTGGGTCCAATTCCAACAACGAGATCTGCCATTTCACACAACTCTACCTCTGTTTTATGTTTCTCTTCACCCTTGGAAATGGGGTTAGAATAGTTCTTAAACATCCCCAGTTCTTCTGGGTCTGTGTGCACGACTTGGATCCATTTGCAGTTCTTACGTTCTTTAATTATTTGTGCTTGTTTGCCGAGTTTAACTCCATGACCAACGATTACATCTATTTGTAAATGTGCTGGTGCAAAGCTAAGCCACTCCAGTTCTTCAAAGCCAGGCCGGCGTGATGCCTCAACAATCTTTACGTTGTGTTGGAGGGCTAGCTTTTCGTCCTCTTGACTGCATTTTGGAAGAAAGAATGTGATTTCCGCTTCAGGGCATTTGGCGAACTGAATGGCTAATTCTCTGTTTATGGTGGACAGCCCTCCTTTGCTCGATCCCCATTCAGAGGCCAAAATGGTGACTTGCACTTTGCAGAATCTTTCCGGAAAAGATGCCATTTCCAAGCATGATCAGAATGGCTAAACACCTAAAAGAAAGCAAAACATAGACAATGATTACAAAAAATTTATCACTAGTAAGTGTTCAAATGGTGACTTCCGTTTGTGCTTTGACTTTCTATGTCCAGGATTTCAAGTTAATGAATTCATGCCCCTTGTGATAGAAATCACAGTGTCCACTAATCTTAAACCTCGCCTAAACGCAGGCGTCTATATGACGTCATATGGAATAAGTCAGATGGAATAATAATAACTGTGCCCAATATAAAGTACTTAAATCCAGGTTTTTTTCTCTTATTTATTTACAATACTCTCACATTTTACAATACACCTACAGGCTACTTTACTAAAAAACAACAAACAAACAACTAAAAAAAGATTCAGGAAAGAGTATCTACCCTCACACGTACACTGAGAAGAGTAAAAGTTGTGTCTGGTTTGTACTACAGGCCAAAATAAACAAATAAAATGAAAAATAATGAGAAACATTAAATAATAATCATCATCATCATCATCATTATCATCACCATGAAAAAAAATCCGAATTATTTCCATTTTCTGGACACAAGTAATGACCTTTAAGTTGGCTTACTCATACAAAGGCATCGCAAACTGCACAAAGGAAGTTACATCAGCAAAGCATGGAATTAATAAAAAGAGAGATTCTGAAAGGAATCGTGAGTAGTGTGTAGGATAGTAGGATAAGGAACCATAACAAATGTACAATTAAATAGATGTGGCAGTTGTGAAGGTAATGTTAATTTTTGTCACCTTTATGTGCATGGTCTTTCATAACCAAAGTGTAGTTAAAAAAGAAAGGAAAGAAACTTTAACTTAATAACAAAGAATTGGGTACATTCCAATTCAGATTCACCAGGTTATTTTTACATTCAACAATATTAAGACCAGAATGCATCACTTGCACTGAGATGGAATTTCTGTGAGTTCATACCAGAAAAATTGTAAAATAATAATTATTTTTAAAGTTTATTTTTACTTCTATTTTCATAGTAAATCTTTTGCAATACTCAGTATTAACATATAAAAAAAAATGTTATAAGCCATAAGAGTGGTATATTATGTGTTATGCAGGGCTAAGCATCTAATATTAGCAAGACTGTACAGTGGGACTCACCAATGAGTCAAAAAAGTTTGGCCATATTAACGGGGTGGCCATATTATTGGGGCAGGCTCAAATTTCATGACTTGAGGGCCCTATAATGACAAATACACCGCATATCGCATTCGCATTTCTTGAATAACTGTTGTCATTAATATAAACAACCGAAATGTAGATATCGCGGACAGTAATTGAAAAAACTACTTAAAATTTTCCTTCAGTACATAAAACACTTCTAAAATTTGGCTAAAAAATCTCAACAAGTGCACTTTATGTGTACTGTAGTCTAAAATTAGTACAAGAACAGGCTCAGAGTACTACGTCAATAAAATTGACATCAAACAAGTGGCTGTATTAATGGGGTGAAATTATAAGAGATTCCATTTTTTGGGATTTCAAAATGTAGCCATTGGCCATAATAACAGGTGACCACATTAATGGGGGTTCTTCATAAGGAAATGTATAGCCTGCGAAAAAAAGTGGCCATAATAATGAGGTGACCATGTTACTGAGGTGGGGGCAGGGTTCCACTGTAGTGACGTGAGTGAGATCTTCTGCTCGCGCTTACTAAGGAAAGATGGAGGTTACACAGACTGTTAAAAATACATTCATGTAATCATTTCCACCCTTTCTTATAATACCCTAAGAAAACAACCGACATTTCACCAGGCCACAACTGGTTTCCCTGCAAAATGATGTCTGGGAAATGAGGACAAAAATTCCATACTGGTGACCTTTCACTACCCAGATCTGGGTAGTAGGTCTGATTGGCTGCAAGTTTGCTTCAACCAATCAAAAAGCACTACCAGATCTGGGTTTTGACATGTCATCAGTATGGAATTTCTGGAATTTTCTGAAATGTCGCCCATTTGCTCAGGCTACTTTCTAATTATTCGACATTATTTTCTTGAAAACCTAAATTAAGTGCATACATGTAGTAGCTCTACAGGCAGTCATTTGGTACCAACACAGTTTTGAACACTCAGTTAACATTACTCTGGTCTGAACTCTGATGGATTTCCCCCAGTTTCCCACAAGTTAGATTACTAACCCCATACATGACATTACAAAAGCTGTACCCTGCAAGAGTCTCAATTTATCTACAGCTGCAAGTTATGCAAATTATGCAGGATTAGCCCCAGGACAACAAAGGGTCTGAATGCCACCCCATTCCCCTAACATGGTTCTTAAGGCCATTACCAAGTCAACCCTTTTTTTTCCAACAGTTTCATCAACTTTGGTGATAAGGTACTGTAAAATTCCAAAAATAAGCCCCTCCATGTATAAGCCCCTCCAAATATAAGCCCCCCAAACTTGCAACGCAAAAGACCCTCTGTTAAATCACAAATCCAAATATAAGCCCCCCTGGGGGCTTGTACTTGGAAATTGCCCTTAAATACAAAGTAAAACAAAGCAAAAACGCTAAATTTCCTTCCAACTACAAGGCTAGCCCAATCGATTCTGAAACACAAACTTCCCTCCATAGATAAGCCCCTCCGAATATAAGCCCCTCCAAAAATAAGCCCCACAAAAAGGGCTTTTGAAGAATATAA